AGAGCTTCGCGAAAAAAACGAGCTTGCTGCTCGTGACGAGAGGAAGCCGATTATACCCAATTTTAAGATCCTTAATCATTGGTTGACCTTTCAGGTTAGGTCAGTGACCAAAAGTCGGGAAAATCGGGACCTGCTAAAGTCATTAGTGTGGCTGCTATATGGTGTTTTTTAGGGGGGTGGTGGTGTTGATCACGAATATCATGTTAGTTTTGATCGCAAATGATGTCTTCATGCATTTAGGCCAGGTCGGGTCAGGTCAGGTCGGGTCAACCAGTAGGGAATGTTCCTGCCGGGTATCCGTAGTAGGTGTCAACCGCCTCTGACAGAGCTTCGTAGGGGAAGTTGGGGGAACGCCGAATACTTTTTTCTGACGCCCGTAGCACGCAAGGTAGACAACATAAGCTATTCTTGTTGGCGTCATTCGAGAGGCCAGTCTTTTGCCTTTCAAACATACCAGGCGCATTTGATGAATTCGCATACCGTTAAGCGCACAAACTAAAAATATCAAAGAAGTGATTTTTTCGGCTTTGCCCCGGACTGCGGGGAAAGCCGAAAATGGGAGAAATGATCTACGGGGAATGCCGACATTGATGTTTTGCCACTTTATCTCAAACTTTATCCAGAATTTATCAAAGCTGACACGCGTTTTAAGAGCTTGAGGACGCTTGGTGCACACTGGAAGTTATAATTGTGTGATATAGTAAGAAAATGCCAGGTAAATAATTCCTTATAGGTAACAGGCCGTTGTGTCGGTTGAAAGTGTAATTTGTGTGACTAAAAATTCGCGTTGCTATTCTACAGCAGTAAAGTCCACGTAGGTAGCGTGCTTTAACGTGCGTAATTGCACGTTTTCGGCATTACCCCAGCCAGCCATACTTTCATTTGCAGGCCCATAACTTTTCAACGTGCCGTATAAATTTCAAATAGGCAGCACACTTATGCAAAGACATGCTGAAGATTACTTGACCGAATTGGCCAGACAAACGGTAGCATAATGAGTAAGAAATGCAGCTTCAAAGGCGCATATAGTACAAGGAACGCGTACCTTGAAAACGCTCTTGGCGCCCTCACAGCCGAAGTATTCCGAATGACGACTCGTAACAAACATGCGATAATTGTAGTCACTTAAGCTTCAGAGCATCACTGACAGGTGGCATCCATGTCTTACGATTTTCGAAATATCTCGAATTTCGGCTTTGCCCCAACTCCGGCATTGCCCCAACTTCCCCTACCATGTTACGAAGGCGCCAAAACTACTTCGTAAATGTTAAAATGGTTGCTAAATTGAAAACTCGAGTTCAGCTCTAAAACCTAGTATAGAAACATGTAAAACTCGAAAAGTTGATAGAGGTCATCAAAGGTCACTGACCTGACCTGACCTTCAGGTGACCATGACAGTTGACACCCACCCAAATGCTTGTGAGCCAACATCCATATCACATGTCTGAACGCTTCAGACCACGAAAAGACTGCAAACGTGCGGCTAATGCGAGCCGACGTACGCCGAATCGCGATTCCGGCAAAACATGGTCTCGAACGGTAGGTCACAGGTCAAAGGTCATTTGGGTCAGGGTCATGAAATTTTAAGGGTAGGTGTAGAATTGATTACCGCGAGGGAACTGAAAGTTTCGTCGAGATCGGGCTTGTGAACTTCTGACACCTTGATTTTGGACTTCCTCCACCTAGCCAAACGGCTTGTGTCGCCGCGAGTCGTCCTTCACCTCTCACGCCGTCAACCTCCACCGATCATGGAACATGTTATTCGACGATGTAGGTGCAGATGTTAGGGTCAGGGTCAAGGTCGACTTAGGACATCTAAAAACATTGTTTTTTAGGCACGATGAAATAACTTTTCGTATAATTATTTGACTGCACTTTCGATAAAAACTCCTTAAAGGGACTATCCCACCTTTAACATGGGGTTTGAGCTGAGATAGCCAAGTTTGCGGCGAGGTTCAGAAACCACTATCTATCTAGGTTGCAACCCCCGCGGCCTCTTGGTGTTGAAGAAATTCGTTCCCTTCATTTGAAAATGGGCCTTGTACAAGGCCCTATCTTCAACATGGAGCGACCGTTAGTGTGACGTCACCTCGTTTAGTCATTCTGATTTAAATGGGTTTGTTCGTTGAAAAATCGCTTAAAACTTGGTCTGAACTTTGTTGTGGTGCCTACAGAGTAAAAAGAATCAACTTTATGACAATAATGTGGCCTGGGGAAGGAGGTAATTTTTGGCTGTGACGTCACATATTTGAAAGTTTGTGTTTGGAATATGGGAAGCCTAAGATGTTTAATGAAAAATAAATGCCAGAACCGTGTTCCTGGTCATCCAATCTATAAAGTCGGGCACAATTTAACTGGTTTTAACAACATTTTAGAAGGTGGGATAGTCCCTTAAAAAAAAAAAAATATTCGAGATTGGATAATTGAGGTGAACATCGCACAGCTTCAAAGAGGAACAGAGACGTGAGAGAGAGAGAGAGAGAGAGAGAGAGAGAGAGAGAGAGAGAGAGAGAGAGAGAGAGAGAGAGAGAGAGAGAGAGAGAGAGAGAGAGAGAGAGAGAGAGAGAGAGAGAGAGAGAGGGTATTGGCTGTGATGTGGCCGTCCAGCTGTCGGTGTGTATTGGCTGTGGCCGTCCAGCTGTCGGTTTGTATTGGTTGTGATGTGGCTGTCCAGCTGTCGGTGTGTATTGGCTGTGGCCGTCCAGCTGTCGGTGTGTATTGGCTTTGATGTGGCCGTCCAGCTGTCGGTGGGTATTGGCTGCGCTGTGGCCGTCCAGCTGTCGGTTTGTATTGGCTGTGGCCGTCCAGCTGTCGGTTTGTATTGGTTGTGATGTGGCTGTCCAGCTGTCGGTGTGTATTGGCTGTGACTGTCCAGCTGTCGGTGTGTATTGGCTGTGGCTGTCCAGCTGTCGGTGGGTATTGGCTGTGCTGTGGCCGTCCAGCTGTCGGTGGGTATTGGCTGTGGCCGTCCAGCTGTCGGTGTGTATTGGCTGTGACTGTCCAGCTGTCGGTGTGTATTGGCTGTGGCTGTCCAGCTGTCGGTGTGTATTGGCTGTGGCCGTCCAGCTGTCGGTGTGTATTGGCTGTGCTGTGGCCGTCCAGCTGTCGGTGTGTATTGGCTATGGCCGTCCAGCTGTCGGTGTGTATTGGCTGTGGCCGTCCAGCTGTCGGTGTGTATTGGCTGTGGCCGTCCAGCTGTCGGTGGGTATTGGCTGTGCTGTGACCATCCAACTGTCGGTTTGTATTGGCTGCGCTGTGACCGTCCAGCTGTCGGTGGGTATTGGCTGTGCTGTGGCCGTCCAGCTGTCGGTGTGTATTGGCTGTGGCTGTCCAGCTGTCGGTGTGTATTGGCTGTGACCGTCCAGCTGTCGGTGGGTATTGGCTGTGCTGTGGCCGTCCAGCTGTCGGTGTGTATTGGCTGTGGCTGTCCAGCTGTCGGTGTGTATTGGCTGTGGCCGTCCAGCTGTCGGTGTGTATTGGCTGTGGCCGTCCAGCTGTCGGTGTGTATTGGCTGTGGCCGTCCAGCTGTCGGTGGGTATTGGCTGTGGCCGTCCAGCTGTCGGTGGGTATTGGCTGTGCGTGGAGCGGTGCCCGCTGACGGCCGGCCTCTGTGTGCCGCCGGCTGATGGCGTCCTTGCCGCTGTGCCGACAGCCGCCGTCTCAGCCTGCACCCCAGCCAGGCGTTCTTCCTGCTGGTGAATCAGCGCGCTCTGCCCAGCGTCTCGGCCACCGTCGGAGCCGTCTACGGACAGGAGCGTGACCAGGACGGCTTCCTCTACATGGTGTACGCCTCGCAGGAGGTGTTTGGCGGCGGTCTCTGAGTGCCGGCCGGTCACTCACAGATTGGACACAGCAATGGGGTCGAGACCATTGACAACATTGTTTTACATTTATTGGATGTCGTCGTTCATTACATTTTTTCTTTCAAGATCACTTAAAGGGACTATCCCACCTTTAACATGGGGTTTGAGTTGAGATAGCCAAGTTTGCGGCGAGGTTCAGAAACCACTATCTATCTAGGTTGCAACCCCTGCGGCCTCTTGGTGTTGAAGAAATTCGTTCCCTTCATTTGAAAATGGGCCTTGTACAAGGCCCTATCTTCAACATGGAGCGACCGTTAGTGTGACGTCACCTCGTTTAGTCATTCTGATTTAAATGGGTTTGTTCGTTGAAAAATCGCTTAAAACTTGGTCTGAACTTTGTTGTGGTGCCTACAGAGTAATAAGAATCAGCTTTATGACAGTAATGTTGCCTGGGGAAGGAGGTAATTTTGGGCTGTGACGTCACATATTTGAAAGTTTGTGTTTGGAATATGGGAAGCCTAAGATGTTTAATGAAAAATAAATGCCAGAACCGTGTTCCTGGTCATCCAATCTATAAAGTCGGGCACAATTTAACTGGTTTTAACAACATTTTAGAAGGTGGGATAGACCCTTTAAGGCATGATCTTTTGTAATGAGAACGTACAAACCAATTGATAAATTCACAGACACTCAGATACACGAACACAGAACAAGCGAGCGTGTTTATTCCAACACTATCACTTGAACTTACGGGAATGCTTAGCTCCAGTTCTAGATGAGCTATATCTGGATTAGACATTAGACAATGAACCTATGCCATTTTACGAGGTGACCTGACCTAACTGCTGTTACCCGATATACTTGACCTAGGAAAAGTCGACATGAATGATCTCGGATGACCTGTGTGACCCGGCACGCCTTCCACTGCACATCAGTAGGCACAAATCAGCCACGTCAATCTTGTGGCTCGAGCAACCGGCACGGTAATGTAAAGGAGCTACCACCACGCTAGCATTAGCGTTGATATTTCGACAAAGTACTATTGACCTTGACCTAAACGTGACCTGAAATGACAGTTTCTTTGCGCGTTTGTTTCAGAATGTGAGGAATGATCTACGCAACAGAAGAAGAGAAGGCGAGCTTGTGAGGCGATCAACTAGTTGGATGGACGGAGCCGTTGCCAAGACGGCATGCGGTATGCGGCGTCCCAGTGCGCTGGCGGTGACCTCTCAGCGCCGGCGATGTGTGCCTCTGCTGCTGGTCTGTCTGCCGCTGGGCGCAGTGCCCGTCTGGCTGTGCATGTACCGCCAGCTGGCTGAGCAGCACTCCCCGGCGCCATCCGGCACAGGGGGCGGTGACACTGCGGAGACGCTGGTGGTTCCCGTCGGCCGGCTGGTGGAGCCGTCGCTGCCGGCACAGTCGTGGTTCGCCGGTGACCCGAGCTGCGCCCACCTGGTGACACAGTTCGGCCGGCCGGGCAGCCTGCCGGACGCCCGGATCGCCTCGTTTCCCCGCTCGGGCAACACGTGGGTGCGCTACCTGCTGGAGGCCGCCACCGGTCTGGTCACCTGCGGACCGACCTTTGACAGTGAGGCCACCGAGCGGCGGCCGGTGGGGGCGCTGCCGGCCGTGGCCGACGTGACCGCCTACCGGAAACGGTCGCTCTCCACGTCGGCCGAGCTGAGCGCCGCCGGTTTCATCGCCGAGCACGTGTCGCCGCTGACACGCACCTGCCTGGCCGCCAAGACGCACGTGTTCCCACCCGTCTGGCGGCGCGTGGACGGGCCCGGCGACGGGCGCACCGCCGCGGAGCAGTCGGCATCGGGCTCCAGCAACGGGACGTCCGGCAACGAGACGGCCACCGGCTACCCGCTGCCGGCGATCCTGCTGGTGCGCGACCCGTTCCCAGCCATCATTGCGCTGCGACACCTGCTCAGTACCAACAGCATACGGGCGCGCGCCGGCGCCGCCAGCTTCTCGGGCGCCGAGTGGCGGCGGTTCGTGGAGCAGCAGAGCCAGTACTGGCTCGAGCTGGCCGACGAGTGGGCCGAGGGGCCGCGGCACACGCTGCTGGTGCCCTTCGAGCGGCTGGTGGCCGAGCCGGCCGTCCAGCTGCGCCGCATACTGCGCTTCCTGGGCGTGACCCCGGCGCCAGAGAGACTCGGCTGCGCGCTGAGACACAAGGAGGGCGCCTTCAGGAACACTGAGCACCCTGTGCTGCCCAGGGAGGAGGTCTATGATGCCGATATGCGCCGGATGGTTTGGTCCAGGATTCGGCTGCTAGATGACACGCTATCAAGTCGCGGCTACCGTCAGCTTCCATTACAGCTGTATTCGTTCTACAAAAGGACTAGAAAATGATGCTCCTGATGACTGCTTTTTCTGTTGTATACTGTATAGGTATGATAGGTAGGAGAGAGCGGGGTCATTTGGCCGCCCGGGTCACTTTGGCCGCCCCATGGCTACGCGTTTTGAGGGTCCCGACCGATTATTTTTTAATATGACTTCATCCACCGTCATAAGAACTACTTTGGAAAGAAACTAAGGAAACTCGGCGACGCCCAGTTTTTTTTTTGTAAAGCCAACGATATTTGAATTTTGGCTAAAAAACGTAACTTTTTCTTCTTCACGAAAAGTTGCATGGTGTCCCTTATTTGGGTGAAATCAAAATTTTAACTCTATTGGTAGAACAATCTGGTAATTCAGGGAGCTGTCTGACCCTTTTGCAAGTTTAAGTAACAATTTTTGCTTGTCTGCGGACCTTTTTTCCTAAAAATGTCATATTGGGGTAAATTGGCCGCCCAGCGACTCAGTTGATTTTTTGCCTAGTCTGCGAGCGACGCGCTGCGCTGGCTAAGTTCTGCGACTGAGGATGGTAATGCGGCGCAGTCTAAATGCAAGGGACGACCTAACCAAGGTGTCCGCTGATTGGCTTTCGGCACCCGGCGGCAGATGGTGAACCCGGGACGTCACATCGACCTCTACCAGGTGGCGTCGATTTTTCGCCGAAGAACATCCTTAAGGGATTCGAAGCAGCCGGGATATCGCCGCTCAACCGGGCTATCTTCGACGACGAAGACTGCGCCGCAGGCGGTCTTCGCACCGGTCGTCGCCCCAGCGACGGCAGATCAGCACGCCGCGGCCCCGGTCGTGCTCCAGCCGCCTGCTGTCGCCGTGTCTTGTTGCTTGTCGGAAGCCCAGAGTCCATCCGACCACTTCCGCAGCTGCGCATCAACGTTCGAAAAGCCGGTCGGAAGAAAGGGCGTTCTAAAATCATGACTAACAGCCCGGAGCGGACGGCTTTGGAGGGCGAGCAACAGGCACGTATGGCGAGGAGCAAAAAGCGGGGTCCACAAGCTGGACCGTCGAACCATCGAACGTCGGGAGCTGGACCGTCGAAGAAACAGGGGCGCAAAGGTGAAAAACAGTGAAGCGCAGTGATGACTGGATATGTGTCCATGCCGCCAATAACTCCGACGGGGGGGCGGATATCCGCCCCCCCCCCCCCCGTCGGTGCGCGTGTTAAGTGCTGGGTCGAAGACGGGGCCTGCTGGAATCGTTTTTATTTCATGTTAACGACAGAGTTTGAAATAAGCAAACAACTCGTGCACAAATGACTTTTTTGCAGTGTGATTGTCGTCTAAAGCAATCTACGATTTGGCAGCCATTACAGTTGGCTGTTGTTATCACTGGGCAGTGCTCAACTCATGAGTCGTAAGCTCGTAAAGCAAATGTGGCTCCTCACTTGCACCGATTCAAATGAATCGATTGTAAGCCTAGTCTTTGGAAAAATTAAGGATTTCAGGCGAATCAAAGATGAGTCACGATGCTCATCATTTGTGTCAGCATTTGGGCGTCTGGATCGTCACATCAGTCATGCGTCGAGTCAATCCAGAATTCATGAGCACAATCTTGGGCGTCAATATTTCAGGTTGTCTCAGCTCTGTAATGGGTATATCTCTGAATCACATGCCCGGCCAAATGACCCCACTCCCCCGGCCAAATGACCCTCGTACCGGGGTGATTTGGCCGCCGTGCAGTCTTCGAAAGAACGGTTAATTACTACCAAAACGAGATGTCCAGGCACGATGCAAGTAATAGGCCGGAACAACAATTGAACGCCTCACACCCCTCCATGGAGAAATCGACCAAACGCGCTCTGGTTTTCTCAAAATATCGTTTTTACAAAAGGGCGGCCAAATCGCCCCGTTCTCCCCTACTATCATAAGTGGGATGCCGTGCAGTTGGGTCATTTATTAGAAACAATGTCGAAGGAAGCACTTCTCGACACTGGACTGGAATAGACGACTTTAAACATATTGCCAGTAAGTGATATCACCCTGTTGATAAATGCCCGTTCTTCACCAAGAATATTGAGTCTGATCAGCATTAACCCTCGCCGGACCTATTGGTTTTCTACATACGCGCCGGCCGAGGGGGGCGGGTACGACCCCCCCCCCCTCGCCGTTTCGCTCCTGGTGGAGCTAGCGCGTCGCGAAAAAAAACGAGCGTGTGCGCCGTTACGAGACGCAGAGATTGGCACCCGATTTTAAGGTCCTAGGTCAACCGGTGACCTCTGAGGTCAGGTCAAGTGCCCCAAGGTACGGTTCAGTTTTTAGTAAATAACTTCACAAAAAAGGGCCGCAGGGTCGCGATTTTGGCAGCATCGTATTCGCCTCGCTCAGGCGCGTCGAATGATATACTTTTTGTTTGGGTCCGGTCAACTTAGGGTGTTGACCTCAGGTCACGGTCAGGTCACGATCAACGCCCTCAGGTCACGAAGTTGGTCGAAAGAGGTCATGTCGCATATCATTCGATTCGGCAGGTCTTCCTGAGTCCATTGGTGACTTTCCCGACTCGCTAGCTCAATTTGATCGGGAGTTATTGACGAAAAACTAATATGACCTTGATGACGTCATAAATGACGTCACCCAAGGTCAACATTGCAAAAGTGACGCATCTGACCTTGCAAGAAGTGCATCAAATCACGATCCTGCGTGCTTGAGATAGTAAGAGATCGTTCCCGGCGCCAGAACAGCAGTTTTTATTTTTCCCCATTGACTTATAATGGTGAGGTTATGAAAATGACCTGAACTCATATGACCTTTAGAAAAAAAAATCCGAGATAAACAAGTTGTGAGACTCGTAATGGATACTAGATCCTGCAAGTTTCATTTCCCTGTGATAGCTCCTCTAGCAGTGAGGGCGTTGCGAAGTTGCGACATCTGAAGACCGTGCAGAGGTTCACTTATGACGTCATAAATGCGATTGGTGTCAAAAGATCCGGCTTGAATCAAAGATCAGGTATGCCAAGTTTCAGCTCTGTATCTCCAGTGTGTTCGGGGCTATCGCGAAAAAAAACCTATGGGGGCAGCTCCCCCCTCCCCCCTCGGCCGGCGAGGGTTAAACAGCAAACGTTGGTACCAGCATCTGCGATGCTGGGCTCCGCATCGCGGGACCGCAGGTTGTTTGAGCAAGCACCTCTGTAACGCCGCAAAAACGCCACCCGCCAAACGAGAGGATGAGCCTTGCACGTGCAGACCGGAGTGGGTGTGCTAAAAACTGACGTGCACGGCACCCTATTCGCCCGTCTAGAGCGGTGTGCAAAATTTGGGTGCAATCGGCCCGGCCGTTTTCGAGATCTTGAAGCGGCACCCTGCACATGCGCACGTGCAAGCTGGGTCCCAACTGACTTGTGCATGGCATTCTACATATTCGCCGGTCTCTAGCGGTGTACCTAATTTAATTGCATTCGGCCCAGCCGTTTCCAAGATCTGGAAACGACCCCTACACGTGCGCACGTGCAGTTGCACCCCAACTGTGGCACATGAAAATACATACTTACTGACTTGTGTACGGCACCCTACTAACCAGTCTCTAGTGGTATGCCAAATTTGAGCACAGTCAGCCCAGCCGTTCTTGAGATATGGAAGCGTCAGCCTGCACGTGCGCACGTGCAAACTGGGTCCCATCTGACTTGTGCACGGCACCCTACTCGCCGATCCCTAACGGTACCTAATTTAATTGCATTCGGCCCAGCCGTTTCCAAGATCTGGAAACGACCCCTACACGTGCGCACGTGCAGTTGCACCCCAACCGTGGCACATGAAAATACATACTTACTGACTTGTGTACGGCACCCTACTAACTAGTCTCTAGTGGTATGCCAAATTTGAGCACAGTCAGCCCAGCCGTTCTTGAGATATGGAAGCGTCAGCCTGCACGTGCGCACGTGCAAACTGGGTCCCATCTGACTTGTGCACGGCACCCTACTCGCCGATCCCTAACGGTGTGCCAAGTTTGATCACAATCGGCCCAGCCGTTCTCGAGATCTGGAAGCGTCACCCTGCCCGTGCGCACGTGCAGCGGCACCCCAACCGTGACTCATGGAAATGCATTGCCGGGTGCGTGCCAACATCCATGCCAAGTACCAGCGCAATCGGCAAACTAACTACAGAGTTATTAGACTTGTTACTGAACTGACTTCTCTCCGTTTTTCACGTGGCACGTGCATTAGGGGTCACCCATACGCATCAAAAATAGCACACTACGTGTAAGAAAGGAACAAGCTATCCCACACAAAAGACCGTGAGTGAATCGGTTAAGCAGTTGTGGAGATAGAAGCTTTGCATTGGCGCCCCCACGGCGGCCGACTGCTAATATTTAGCAATTATCAGTGTCGCATCCGCACACGGGAGGTATCCCCGTCACCTGTTCGTATACTCTAATGTGGTTGGGTTCAAGTCAGAGTCGAGCCCTGCTTTTTTACAGCTTTTCTTAAAAACGGCACATCGTGCAGTGACGTTCTATGCATCAGTGGAAAGAGCATCAAAAATTGTATATTATATGAACTTTTCACCTATATATATTACTAACGATAAAAGTTATAGAGGAATAAACACACTCCCATTGACTTTCCATGTTAAAAATTTTCATTTTCAAACGAACTTTATTCGAAAAAAACGATTTCTGCCAGCTTAATAAAGCATACCAGCATGTACTACGCTCTTTCCTATACAAGTTATAAGAGTTTGGGCAAATTCTATCTCTAAAATTTTGTACAATGAACGAATGAAAATGTCTCTGCAAAGTCTCGGCATCGCCGTCCATTGACTTAAAATGGGACACAGCAAAATTCCAACTTTGATCTCGTGCAAAGACATGTTCCGAGATTCTGAGGGGTATACAGCGCACACGGGCGTGTACCTGAACGTGTTTGCCATAAAATGCTGGGAAGAAAACCACCTCTTCCTTGGCTCGTTTTCCCGCCATTCGCGATCGCGCAAAAAGTGTCCGAACTCCCGTTGACTTAACATGGGGAAAATGGAATCGCACGTGCCACGTGCCACGAGATTCTGGCGGGTATACGG